CCTCGATCTGGATTCCTAGGGCGCCCACGAAGGTGTGCTTTTTTGCATGGCTAGCGGCAAGGGGAGTGATTTTGACTGCTGAAAATCTCCGAAAGCGGGAAATTACACTTGTTAGTTGGTGCTATATGTGTAAAAGCTCAGGAGAAGAAGTTGATCACCTTATGTTGCATTGCCCTGTGTCCTCAGCTTTGTGGAGGGCAATCCTGAATCTCTTTGGTGTTCAATGGGTGATGCCAAGCACTGTAAAAGAAATGTTATATAGCTGGGGCGGTTTCCGTAGAAGAAGAAAGCAAAAGGCGTAGAAATTCGCTCCGTTAGCTCTCATGTGGGTAGTATGGGGGGAGAAAAATAGGAGAGCTTTTGAGGAGATTCAGTCTCATTTTTCACATCTTAAGAATAGCCTTTTATCTTTGATCGCTTTTTGGTGCACTCACTTAGCCCCTACTTGTATAGAAGATTGGGCGTCTTTTGTAGAGAATCATGTTCTGATGTAAATTCTCTACGTCTTTGGTATACTTTGTATACACGGGAGTTCTCTCCCTTTTGATTAATACAATTTACCTTATCAAAAAAAATAAAATCATTCATTGCTAATGGAAAATAACTGGATGAATTGAAAATTGATAACTGTGGTAGCTCTGGCTAGCAATTGTGCCTAGTACGCCAGAGAAAAAGCCAGATGTATCCTTTATTTTGTAGAGATAATAGCAAACAGCAACAACAACAACAAAAGACCCAGTCTAAGGGTAGTGTGTACGCAGACCTTACCCCTACTTTGTGAAGGTAGAGAGGCTGTTTCCAAAAGATCCTTGTCTCAAGGAAATACGAAAAAGAAGTAGTAGCAACAAGCAGTAACAACAACAAGATAATAAGATCACCGGAGCGAAAGAGGCAACATGTAGTAATAGAAATTTATGAATCAGAAAATACAAGATAAGAAGATAGCCGGAGCGAAAGAGGCAACATGTAGTAATAGAAAACTAAGAATCAAAGGATACAAGAATAATATTAATACGACTAGTATGGAAAAGAAATACGCTCGACTACCTACTAACCTTCTACCCTAATTTTCGATCTCCACACCTACCTATCAAGGGTCATGTCCTCGATAAGCTGGAGTTGCGTAGCTAATGACCTCTCCCCAATACTTCTTTGGCCTACCTCTACCTCCCCCAGATCCACCAAGGCCAATCTCCCACACCTCCTTATTGGGGCATCTGTGTCTCTCCTCTTCACATGCCCAAACCATCTTAGCCTCACTTCCCGCATCTTATCCTTTATCTGGGGGGGCACTCCCACCTTGTCCTGAATATCTTCATTCCAAATCTTATCTCTCTTGGTCTGCCCAAACATCCATCTCAACATACTCATTTATGCTACTTTCATTTTCTGGACATGAGATTTGTTGACTGGCCAACAGTTTGCCCTATATAGCATAGTCGATCTAACCACCACTCTGTAGAACTTACCTTTTAAGTCTTGGTGGCAACTTCTTATCACACAAAACACCGGAGGCTCGCATTTGTTTCATCCACCTGCCTTCAATACCATGTGTAACATCCTCGTCAATCTTCCCATTCGGATTACTGACTCAAGGTACTTGAAACTTCCTCTCTTGGAGATAACTTGTGAATCAAGCCTCATGGCCACGTCTGCTTCATTAGTTACGTCACTGAGTTTGCACTCCGAGTATTCTATTTTGGTCTTGCTCAACTGGACACCTTTAAACTCCAGGGTCTGTCGCCAAATCTCTAGCTCGTGTTAACACCGCCTCGCGTCTCGTTAATCAGTACTATGTCATCTGCAAATAGCATCGTGGAACCTCACCTTGGATGTGTTGCGTCAGAACGTCCATCGCCAAGGCAAATAAAGCGGCCTAAGACTGGTACAAAACGAGCTAAGACCGGTATAAAACGGGACAAATAGGGAGTACTACAAGAAAGCTAAGAAAGAGGCGAAGTTAGCGATTAAAGAGGCCAAGACTGCAGCGTTTGAACGTTTGTATGAAAAACTTGGGGACAGGTGGGGACAAGAAGTTGTACAGGCTAGCCAAGGTGAGAGAGAGGAAGGCCCGTAACCTGAATCAAGTAAAGTGCATCAAAGACAAGGAAGGCCAAGTATTGGTGGAAGAGGCACATATTAGATGAAGATGACAAACATACTTCCATAAACTCTTGAACTAGGAGGAAGACAGGAACATTGTGTTGGGTGATTTGGAGCACCCCGAGAGTCCTCGAGATTTTGGGTATTGTAGGCGTATAAGAGTTAGGAGAGTTGAGGAAGCTATACGTAAGATGAGCAGGGGAAGAGCGACCGGGCCAGACGAAATCCCAGTGAAATTTTGGAAGAACACGAGCAGGGCAGCCTTGGAGTGGCTTACTGGGTTGTTTAATGTCATTTTGAGGACGAAAAAAATGTCTGAAATGGAGGTGGAGTACGATGATTCTGTTGTACAAGAACAAGGGTGATATCGAGAATTGTAACAACTATAGGGGTATCAACTAGGGAATTTTTAGGATGAAGAAGATGTCCAAAGAATGGAGGTGGAGTACGATAATTCCATTGTGTAAGAACAAGGGTGATATCCAGAATTGCAATACCTATAGGGGTATCAAGCTGCTAAACAACACTATGAAAGTTTGGTAGAGGGTGGTAGAGGTAAGGGTGAGAAGGACGGTGTCTATTTTCGAGAACCAGTTTGGATTTATGCCGTGACAATCGACTACAGAAGCCATTCACCTAGTAAGGAAATTGGTGGAACAATATTGAGAGAGGAAGAGGGACTTGCGTAAGGTGTTCAATGACCTAGAAAAAGCATATGAAAAAGTCCCGAGGGAGGTTCTATGGAGATGTTTGGAGTCTAGAGATGTCCCTGTAACTTATACTATGGTGATAAGGACATGTATGATAGAGCTAAAACATGGGTTAGAACAGTGGTTGGAGACTCAGAACACTTCTCTGTTGTGATTGGGTTGCACCAAGGCTCAGGCCTTAGAATTGAAACCAAATCTATTAAAACGGACAATTGTGGTAGCTCCGACTAGTACATGGACCTAGCAGGTGAGAACAAATAGATTACATTCTGGATAAATAATAAAATCCCATTATCTTCCTCTTTTCTTTATTTTCGTCTTTGAAATAACAATATGCAATTTCCAGAAACCAAAGGTAGCACAAAATGAGAAGGGGAGCCTTGGAGCAACGGTAAAGTTGTTTCCATATGACCTATAGGTCACGGGTACGAGCAGTGGAATCAAATCAGCCACTGATGCTTGCATCGGGGTAGGCTTCCTACATCACATCCCTTGGAGTGCGGCCCTTCCCCGACCCTGCGTGAATGCGGGATGCTTCGTGCACCGTGCTGCCCTTTAAAGGTGGCACAGAATGATGCCACCAAGAATTAAACTGACGTAGCTAATTTGTTTCCTTCCCAAGCATCAACATTCAAGAGAGAGACAAACAGACAGAAAAGGAACATAATACTCAGAACGATATACGATTTTCTATCTGTGTCCACTGTTGTTCCGGTCCCTCTAAATGTACAGTGTTGGAATTGCTTCCAACAACCTCCCGAAAGAGAATTCCATAGCATGAGAAGGAAGTTTTTTCCAGTAAAATACAGATATGTCTAACCTTCCTTGCACCCAGATACTATGCATAAGAGGTTGTGGTGCGGATCGTAGTGTGTGCTAGATCTAGACTTCATGCTGTTCATCCACAAATTAACAGAAGCTAGGCTTTTGGTCTCCAGAGGTACAGGCTGCAAGGTAGAGGTTTATGTCAATCAAGTTGAAATTCTGCGCCCAGAAAGCAAGGGGTAATCAGGCAGAGGGAATGCAGTCATTCTCACACCGTTTGAATATCTTCTCCAAGGCACTCCAGTTGCTTGTGTTCCTTGTTCTCAAAATTCAGAATTGGTACCTGAACAAGAAAAGATTTTATCCAGTATTAGTCGCATTCCACTAGAAAGAAAGCAATGAGACCACTCCTATAGCCAATGAAATTGCCACCTGTGCTAAATAAAATTGCTGAGGAGCTTCTCCAAAAAGTAAAGCTTGATCAGTGTCAGATACTGCAAGACTATGCTTCTGAGATTCCAGAAAAGCATCTCGCCTTCCATCCCTATTTTCCAATAGGCACAAGCAATATTTGATAAAGGTAGAAAAAGGCAGTGGGACCTGAAATGGAGGGTGATATAAGTTAAAGTGTCAGCTGAACCAAATCATTCAAGAGTACAGAGTTTGCATTGCATGCTCTTCAAATATCTCAAAAACGAACAAGTTACCCTTTCATGGCTTCTAATATCACCATAAAAGACTGGTGCAGATCTGGACCGCATAGCTTCCACGACTATTGAACCTACGCGTTCCTACAGTCAAGTATAAGTAAATGAAAGTTCCAGAGAGAGCACATCAGTCACTATTGTCTTTAAAATACATATGGGGTATATGAATTTCACAAATACTACTTTTCATTCACATGATTATAATTTTACTGTCCTGTACCAAAACTGCGTTAGCATGTAATCCAGTTAAAGTCATATAAAATGTGTATGTGAAAGTTTTAAACCCTATCCGAGTAATTGTAAGCATCGCCAGCATCTACTTCGTGAATCTACAAGGGAGAATGACTATTTCAAGTTATACCCCCTTATTTTGATAATGTAGAAATTCAGGTGATTACATTTCGGGACAAAAAGAGTGTGATAAAGAGCATTCTTTCTTCTGACTTATTGTACATACGAGGCATCTAGCATGTCCAAAAAGGAATATTGCAAAAGAAAATGAAAGACCCTAGATTCACTAGCTCGGTAAGAACAATCAAAATACAAAGACGCAAGGACCGGACCTGCCTAGAGGACTCTCTATCGTCCCCATCATCCTAATAGCCGATAGAGAAACGAAGCACGGAGGACTCCTAAGTAAGAATCTCTTAGACAAAGAAGCAAAACCTAGACTAGAAATCTGATAACAAATAGCACAGAAAAAAATAAAGCAGAGAAAAAGTCTTATAAAATGCAGATGAATCATTTATTTCTCTTTCATTTATCTCACTCTTCCAGCAATAACTGTTCAAAAATGCCTTTGAAGTCTGTCTCTATGCTTCTTGTAATCACTTCTTCAATTGAATATTGTTCTTATTGAAGCTTGCTACAACAATTCTTGCATAACAAAAACAATGGATTAATTTAAACATTTAAGGTTCCTATTTGCAAGAACCTGATGGAAATGAAGGTGAATATAAGTTGGCTGTCTTTCTTGCAGTATAGTTTTGCAGCAAAACTTTTGCTAGTAAACTGTGGAAAGTATTTTTGCAATTCATATTAAGACTTCAAAACCTAATTGCAAAGGCACACATATTTAGTTTCGATGATTAGCAATCATATGAAAATTCTAGACCTCAACACCGGGCAGCCCTACAGTTCATAGGCGGCATCACTAAACAGTTGATGTTTCCAGTAGTTCTCCTAAATTTTATTTTATTTTGACTATCCTTTATTTATTTAGCTTAACAGAATCAGGCGTCACTTAATAGTATAATTCTAAAGAAATGAAACGGAAAAGAAAACCTGCAAGTATATTAAGCCACCGTCCGACGGTTTCCATTTTGAGAAAGCTTTCCAATGCTTTATGCATCCCTTGAAGACCTAAACCCAAACAAAAAGAAAACATTGATGAGCACATCCGCACAGACGTAGTACGTGTTTGTATACTGCGATATGTATATTTTCTCAATTAGAGAAGTCACCGCTGGGACGTTTTTGGGTTCAATCTGAGAAGAGAATATCTCCGGCGACGGAATTTCGGTGAACGTGTGTATTCGCAAATTTTCTTCCACCATTGCTACATTGGTACTGCTCTGAACCCCGATGCTTGTTGAGACTGGGCCAGGCATAACGGCAACTTTGGAAAACAAATTATGAAGCCCAACACAGTAAAATTTCGGTAAAAATTGGGGTAGAAAAGACACGGGTAGCCACTTTAAAGGCTACTATTTAGTAATTAGCCAATGCATGTTGAATTTTAATTTTTCAGCTTAATTTTTAGGGACAAAAGTATCATGAAAGGTTGTTGAGAAGGGGACATGTGATCAATTTGTTCTCCTTTCTAAACGATCCATTGCGTGTCACGTCGCCCTATCCATAGAGGAAGAAGGTGTATGCTCAAGTCTAAAATCTTTTCTGCCAATCGTATAGTCAAGCTTGAGTGCCTCCTTTTTTTGATGATATCGAAGCGGAGTCCTTGGGGTAGTAGTCAATCTGATGTAGCTCCAGCGATTAACCTATTCCAGAGCAGTCTGGTTTTTTTTAGCGGGTGGTTTATGTCTGGCCCTTCCGGGACGCCTGACTTGTTTCTAGATTGAGTAGAAAAGGGATATATGAAGTTCGTTCTTTTCCTCTGTGCATCTCTGTGGTGGGTAAATCTCCATAAAAGGGGTTTACTTTGGTTTGAATGTAAGCTAAAATAAGCGGCATTTATTCAAACAAAGGGAACCATATTGTGGTTGTTTCGATACTTCTGTCAGCCTTGCACTCTATTGAGTAATGTCTAAGTCACAACATCAAGGCCTGAACCAAATTGAGCGAGCCGCTTTCTTCTTTCTGTGCAGCATGCATTGATTGATGGGATAAAAGAAGCACGTTGTACAATCGAACCACAATCTTTTTCCTTACATGGCGAAAGTCGAGGTATTTTACCACATACGTGGGTTCGGTCCTCCAAGGCCTGTTAGAGCTCTCTTCAACCTGCTCATGGCTAGATCGATCGGTTTCGGGTCAAATTGAATTGCCCTGAAATTAAGAATTTTAGTTTAAAATTTAGGACAAAATAAGTATTGGCTAATCTATAATATAACATCCTTGTGAATGGTTATCTATGCACTTGCCCCAAAATTTGGTGGGTTAGCACTTATTGGGCAGTCTATTAGAGTTTAGTCAGCTTTTCGAATATATTAGCAAAGTAGCCATTAATCCTTTTAAAGTAGACTAAATTAATATTTTTACCCTCAACTAACATAGGGAACAACTTCAATAATCGGCACTAGAGTTACATTATTACAGTATGGTTTGCTTACCTGTGTCTTTTTATCTATGTTTTACAATAAATGCAAAAATTTATCTTGTTTGTGTCATGCCATAATATATACAGTTAGTATAGATCTACAAGACCAATGAGTCGTCCTTCTACTTTCTTGAGGGATCGAGCAAAAACTAAGGTACTCATTGTGTTGTTATATTGAGGGGAAAATGACTTAAAGCAACAAGGTATTTCAAAATTGATTTATTATAACTTTATCTTATATATTTATGTAAATAAAGTGAGCGTTTTATGTATTTTAACTCATTAAAACATAATTAAATACGTAATATTAGCAATTTTATGGCTTATACATAAAGAAATCATGGAATTATTCCAGTCCACTTTTGCCATTTTGTTGAGTGTAATCCAATTTTATAACAATATTTATGATTCAAAAATATGGATCTAGTAAAGTTATTTATAGAGTCCAAAAAGAGGAAAGAAAATGTATTCACAAAAACAGTTGAATCCTAAGTTCATAATTTGAATTGCAGTGCCAGAGTTTGAACCAAACAACATCTTAATCGTAACAATTGATTTTTCTCTTTTATTTCTATTAATCACATACGTCATATGTTCGAGTCATGGAAACAGTCACTAATATTTGTATTAGAGTATATTGTCTATATCAAATATTTTAGGATGCATCAGACTGTCTTTTTTATATTTGAAAAGGGAAATAAAGAAAAACAAGAGGAAAACTAAATAAATAAAACACAGGCAAGAAAGCAATTTGTTATGAATGGATTCATTGCTCCGTGACTTTCGCTGCCTCTACGCGTTTTGGTTATTCGAAATTTCAAATCCATGGCCCAACTAATATGGTCGGGGAGAAAAATTGCATATATCGCGTGAATGAAGAAGAAAGTTTTAAAACTAACGATTCCAAATTCAAGCTTTTATTTATTGATAAAAAGATTCATTAAGATGAAGATGGGACCAGTCACACCAAATATTATTCTCTTACCACTGCCAACCATATCTCGCAAAACCGCCAATTAAGGGCAAGTCCTGATTCTTGAGAATGTACTAATAATAACAAATATAATATTAGCTTGGCATGAAGATACTTATTTTTCATAATTAAAAGGAAATGAGAGATCCAACTGATTTTGTCAAGAGACCACTAAATTTCAAACTCACGTATCACTTGTTTTAATTGGTATATTCATTCACATATTACATATAAAAAGTTTTTTTTTAACAGAAACATATCCTATTCATCTTTCCATAAGGTACACTTTGGTTTGAGGGAGTTTACAAAGAGTGCTACTACTCCCTACTCCAGATTTGAAGCGGCCCTCTATCTAAAAGATGAGGTAAATACAAATATAAAGCTTGGATATCCTGGTTACTAGGATTAACAACATGATATCCAAGTTAACATAAGGTGTAACTATAGTTACAAAAGAAGAAAAAGATACACCATTTAAGGTGGCTCCCCGATAATATCATGTTTCCTCTTCTTGAATGTTCTGAACGTGTGGATACCCCATTTATCCACTGTCATGAGCCCTTTAACCTGTATAGGGAGGTCTTCAAAATCAACGTGCATATTGTTGTTCTGATCGCTGTGATAATTTATCGGCGACGTAGTTAGCTTTTCTATAACAATGTTGAAGAATATATCCATTCGAACTCATATGCCTCTTCAGTTCATCAACTTCTTTCCGTAACCTCCCAGGGGTACTGCTGAGGTCATTAACACAATCTACAAGCAGTTTTGAATCGTTTTCAGCTATGATAAAGTCATGTCCATTATTTATGCACCATCTTATACCAAACATGAGTGAGTAGGCTTTAGACCTAATTGCTACTTCCTTTTCCCAGCTTCAGAGAATAGGCAAAAACAAGATTACCAACATGATCTCTTACTATTCCCCCTCCTCCACATATTTTATTTTTGCTGCTTCCATCAGAGTTAAGCTTAACAAAACCGATAAATGGTTTAATCCATTTAACCATAACAATCTTTTTTGAGTTGATGTTGCTTCCCATGAGCTATACAATGCTATCCCAATTCGGAATTCACCTGAACCTTTTTAAAATTATTATTGATCAATTGGGAGATGGTGTTAGAAATGTTAGTAATAGATGTCTTTCCTTTCCATATTTGGCTCCACATTTTGCTCTCCATAGTTCCCATATAATAATAGTTGGGATACACCTTGCCATAAACACGATAACAACATTTTTAGATTTTCATTTTCACTAGTTCATAAGGAGCTGCCTCAGGGGAATGTTGGAGAAGGGGATGCCCATCAGACCACAAATGATCCTCCAAACATCTTGAGCATAATTGCATGTACAAAAAAGATAATTCAATATTTTCTTCTTTTGGAACTCTGTAGCAACAACATTTTGATGGAATAGCAATTCTTATTTTGGCAATCCTAGTATCAATGGGAATTATGTCCCTCAGTGCTCACCATAAGATAAAATTCATCTTGAAAGGAATGAATGGCCCTAGTAATGTCTGGTGCCATTATAGTCCAACATGACTAGAAGAATTTTGCTGAGTAACTATCTGGCCCTGGTGCACTCTCAGGGTCTATAGTGAAGAAGTTATCCTTAATCTCCTCTTCAGAGAGCAATTCAACTAGGAGATTATTATTTTCTTCATCAATCACATTAGTAATGCAAGACAAGTCCTCAAAATTATTATAGTCTGGAATTTGACTAAAAATGCCTTTGAAATATCTTACAGCAACTTCTGAGACATCTTTATTGCCCTCCACCCAAATATGGTTCTCATTCATGATCTTATTGATGCAAAGTCTTCTCATTTTATCCTTAATAACTTTGTGAAAATATGTAGTGTTGTAATCCCCTTCATTTAACCATCTTACCCTAGCTTTCTGCTTTAGAATAGCTTCTTTAGTCTTAAGGAATTGCACATATTAAGCCTTTGTCTTGTTGAGATTGCTTCTATTATGAGGGGTGTTATTGGCTAAAAATTATTGCTCAAGGATATCAATGTCGGCTTTCATCTTTTTAGGATCTTTGTAGATACAACCATAAGCTTCTTTCGACCACATACTGAGTTTGGTAGTAGTCTTTTTCAATTGAAGAGTCCATGTGAGATTTCCTTGACAATCTTCATCCCACACACTTTTAACCACTTCCTGAAATTGGGAGTGTTCTGTCCACATAATATAGAACTTAAAATACCCGACAAACTCCTTTTTATTTCTGTTGAACTGAAGTAATAGTAGAGCATGATAAGAACAAGCCCTTGCCAGATGGGTCACATAAGTGTTGTTGAAAAGATTTAACCACTATGAGTTGTACATAACTCTGTCAAGTCTTTTCCATATAGTAGCGAGAGCTTCTCTATTATTACACAAAGTATGCATATTCTCAGTAAAACCAGCATCTTATAATCCACAGTTCTCCATACAATTGATAAAGTCAAAACTTTTGTCAATCTTATAGGGAGTACCTCTGTCCTTTTCAATAGCTTCCGCCTTCCAGTATTACATTAAAATCACCTATGATACTCCACGAACCTGTTAGGGAATTGGACAGTAGCACTAACTCTTCCCATAGTTCTTTCCTCATAGCAGTTCTACATTTCGCATAAACACAAGTGATATGAATCTCTTCACTTGTGCTCGAGTGATTAATTCTACAAGTCGCATATTGATTAGTATCTTTAATGACATTAACTGTAAAGTTATTAGACTAGATTAACCAGATTTTGGTGTTAATGTTGTATTAGCAATATTGTATTTTTAGTACTTTCATATAGTTTGGCAAATATTCAGTTTGCACAAAGGGTTCTTGAAGACTTATAAAAATGATATTGTATCTATTTTTTATAGTCTTGAGTCTTTCGAAAGCACTTAAAGTCCTTACACTCCTAATATTCCATGATAAAGTATTAATCATTGGAAATTATGAGTGTTAGATCTATGCATATCCTTTGTAGCTTCATTGTGCCCTCTTACTTTATCCTGTCCATCACGGTTCAAGTTAAAGTTATCAGGGGCCAGTTGGATGGAAAAAGAGGCCAGTTGTCACTCTTGTGTCATCATCACATCTGAAACTCTTTTTTTCACATTTTGATCTTTCATGGCATAACTTGTATCACTGACAACCACAATTTCATTGACATCATGAAATTGATCCTCCTCCATTTCAACTTCAGACTCAGATTCATAATGACTATATTCATTTGTTTCTTGTATTTGTAGGGGGACTTGATTTGAAATTCAAAGGTACCATTTCCTAATGGTTGTGGATCAGGTGGCTTCTCTGGGACAACCTCATATGGAGTAACATTTTTCCTACTTAGATTATTTATTTTAGTAACTTCATCGGTGTTCATTTGATCTGTTGATTTAAGAGTTTTATAAGCAAACATATTATCCACCTTGGCATCTATACTAGTTTGAGTATGTTGATTGTAACATTCTTTGGTTTCTTCTTTCTAAAAACCTTATTCTTTCTTAGAGATTCCTTTTATGCTCTTTGCTCTTCTCTCATATGGTGGATTTGTAGTTTCAGCCTGCTTATTTTGTGCTCTCTTTCTTCTTATTTGGTATTTATGATCCACTCTCCTGTATAAATCTAATGGGAGTAATAACCTTTTTTTTTCTTTAGATGTCTCATTTTTGTTTCCTCCTTGAGCAGTAAATGTGATGCCAAAGACATTGATTTCCTTGGCACTTCCTGCAGTATTCACTTATGTAGTCTCCTTTTGAGTAGTTTTAGTATCCTTGAAGGATTCACCTATTGCCTAATTTTGCAGAACTAGAGCTAGAGTTGAAGTGTCTTTTTCTTTTTCTTTACCTTTAGTCACTGTTTTCCAACCTTCCTCCTCATCATTGTGGTCATTTAAACCATGATTCTTAAGCATATGTCTTGTTCTTTCTTTTTTTCTTCCTTCTTTTCCTCATGTGTATCATTGTTGTTAGTACCCTTGTTACTCTTTATGTTGTTGCCTCTATCATCTTTGGAAGGGGCTTCTGGCTTTTGTTGATTCTCATATTTCTTCTGAATATTTCTTAGCTCTGGTGCATGATTCTACAATTTGCATCATTATGACCTTGAGCTCTGCAATGCTAACAATACTCTAGGACATTTTCATATTCCACCTTCTGGGAGAAGGATTCTAAATCTCCATTCTCATTCGCAAATTTGATTTGTACTTCTTCCACTTATGGTCTAGTGATATAAATCTCAACCTTTTTCTTAGCAGTAGTCGGTCTTGTCTTAGCAAGGGTTGCCTTGTCAGATACAATAGGGATACCAGCAGGTGCGATAATCTGACACAAAGCATCCCACTCAAAGTAGTGCCACTTCAAGTCTGTGAGATTAATCCAGACTACAGATAGAGTGGTTTCAACATTTGGTTTGAAATTATACTTTCAGGTTGAGAGTTTTACTTGCATATTACGGAGAGCGATAAAGGTCCTACCATACGCACTCCTTTGATCCTCCTCAAGGTCAAAATCAATAAATGTGTGATATAGATCAAAAGCCCCTATCTTGACAGCTGCTTTAAGAGGGATATTTTTCTGAAAATTAGTGCGATTTTTTTTCAATTGAGGGACGAATTCAAGAAAACTTACCTATAATCGTAAGTTTACAGGTGATCGCAAGTAAGGTTGTGCATGGATCAGTTCGGATCAGATTTAGCACATTTCGGATTGAAAATTTAGATTTTGGATTCTACAAAATACAATTCGAATCCGATCCGAATTAATATCGGATCACATCAGATTTTAAAGTTTGGATCGGATAAATATTTCGGATCTGATTATACGTATTATTAAGGCTATTGCTAATCTAATCGGCTAATGCATCTGCCTTATCTGCTGCTTCTGTGTTCTGTACTAATACAAACATTTCTTTGCTTTTCATCCCTTTTATCAGCATTGCGTCTCTAAGAAAATATTTCTCTAGAGGTCCGAGTTGTTATGCCTCTAAGTTGCCAAACTCATACTTATATTTTCTTTGTAGAAGAGGCAATACACCAAGAAAATTTATGTTTCTGCAATTATGAGGGTACTATGGTGCCAATGTAGCTAAATCGAGCAATTGTAAAGGTAATAACTTGGAGGAAGATGTAAAGGAAGTACTGGCTATCTGAAATTAAAGTTTAGTATTTATACATGCCCTAATAATTTCGGATTTCGGATCGAATCTGGTTAAAATTATACCAATCCGAATCCGATCCGGATATTCAAAATTTTAATAAACATAATCGAAATTCGATCCAAATATCCGAAATTCGAAATTGAGCGGATCAGTTTGGATTTTGGTTATCCGATCCAAATGCACAGCCCTAGTCGCAAGTAGTGAATATTCCTCCTTAGAGAATGACACAACCGATTTGCCTGAGACGAGATTGTAGGGAGTATAATTAAGCCATATTTTTCTTCTAGAATCATTGCTGCTAACATTCCCAAGAGCATATACAAAGTGGAAGGATAGATCTAGGTTAAAGTAACTTGTCCGCTCAATTGGAATTTTTCGGAGGATAATTATTTATGGGGGGAGGTAGCTGATGGATTTGGTGGATCTGGGGGGGCTGGGGGTGTCTCAGCGAGACCATTCCGGAATGAGTCACCCAAAATTCGACCGTTATGTCTGTATGAAGACCATTGTAGAAGATAGAGAATCAAAAAGTTAGAGAAAAGGGAGAGCTTCTCTTTCTAGCAACTTTCCCCCTAAGTAGTTGGTTTACATATAAAAAGTTCATTCTTGATTATTAAACTGTTTACAATACCAATGTGATACATGACTATGTCATATTCATACTTGCCTTTGATCAATACTCACGTTATCCAAGCCACTAATCAAGTGTGGTTTGGTTACTAAGCTAGATAGATAAGGGTATCCCAAAAGTTGGAATATTTCATGGGATTAACTATTTCATCTTCTATATAGGATAGACAATCTCATCATTATAGTATAAAATTTATTCCACCACTAACTAATACATATAATCATACATGGGGTACATGCAATGCTATATTCTATCTTGGGATTAATATTCTTATCCCGATAACCAGATGACCCCTTGTAGTACGTTTCTTTTAGGATTATTTACTTAATTAGGAAAAATAATATAGCTAATTTCGATAGGTTATAACAATATTTTAAAAGGCATGGGTGTAAGGCGATGCGTTTTACATATACCTCAGCGGAGCGTAAGCCCTGAGGCACGAGGTATAAGCCCCATAGGTATTTAATTTTTAATATTTTATAAAATAATATAACTACGGTAAATATNCAAAAAACTAGTCAAAACAATCTATTATACGCTACTTACAAGCACAAATAACTTGAGTCGAAAACAATAAAGTTTCTACATGGAGGAACTAAAAATGATGACTAACCTGCAATTTGAATTTTGAACTTGCTGCTATGAAGGAGAATGGAGTTCTATTTGTATTTGTAAGTTTTTTTTAAATATTTATTGTTTTTGGGAGATATTAGCAGATTAGTGGACAAGATAAAGAATTGGCAAAGACCATGAATTAGAGCTTCAATCAATAAAAAGGTCTTGACTTTTAAATTTAATACATTTCAGTTCCTTTTTTAAAACTTTTGAGTAATTACCAAGTTGACTTTTGAGAATTTGGGTATTATATGAAGGAATTATTCAACAAATTTTGTTTTAATTTGAAAAAGTCTTTGGGGCTTACGCCTCACTAAAAATGTGCCTCCAACTCCCGGGTATACGCCTCTTGAGATTTTCGCCCCCACACCATCGCCTGGGGGCTTTTTGGGTACGCTTTGCCCTAGGGATCGCCTCGAAAATGCCTTTTAAAACACTAGGTTATAACTATTTGTATTATTATCAAGTGTTGATAATGCAAAATCAAATATTCATTTGTGGTCCCTTTTCTTCTTACTTTTTGTCTTGTGTAAAAGACAAAAGTCCTTTAAGGATTAGGATGAATTTTTTTTCTTCTTTATATTGAGTTGTCCTTTTTTGAGCTTGTAAAGAATTAATTATCAAAAGAGAGTGGCTTCGCACACATGAGAAAATGAGCTTGAAGATTAAAACTCGTTAAATTTCCCTCCTACGTGCAAGATATACTGGACGCCTAATCCAAAATATTCATCTTTTATTCTTGTTCTTCTCTATTATTTTCTAGGCAATTGTATTTGTGCAAATTTCAAACTTTCAACTACGAGTGACCTTGGGGAGTGACCAGTCTAAATGATTTGCACGTTAGTCGGGTCGAAATTGCTTTCAAGATAATGACTTGTCACAGCACAACGTCAATCCGATAAGTTATTTTTCCTGTTTTCCTTGTCCTGGGTCAATATTATCATATATATTTTCAATAATAATAAATTACTCTACATGAGAAATGTAAGATCCGTGTATACTTAACAATAGAATTAATGGAATGGATGTGATTTTCAATTAACAAATGCACGTCGCTCACAAATTAGAAGCTGACGCATAAGGGCCAAAACAAGAACAATTTCCATTATGTTTACTACGTGGAATGATGTTAAACTTTTCTTTTTAAATTTATTAATATAGCTTGAGAAAATCGGCTGATACCGGTAAAAACTTAGAAAAATTGTGAAGAAGTCAACTCAGCAATTGCCCCATAGGCCATAAGCATATAGTCCATGGGCATGGTGGATTTTGTTTTTTGTTTACTGAGTCTGTTGAAGATGTCACGACCCAAAAATTCACCTAGTCGTGATGACATATAACTCAACCCGCTAGGTAAGCCAAGCAATAATCAACCCAAATCTAATAAAAATAATGAGAATTTAATAAATGAAATAACTAAATTTCTATACAATAACCCAAGGATTGGTAGTACAAGTCATGAGCCACTAAGATTTAGATATACAAAGCTTTTGTGAAAATAAATACAACATATGTTTGAAGTATACATAAAGAGAATTCAAATCTAAAACTACCAAGGACAAATGGTAGTTATGTACGGAAAGCAGGTACATCCTTAATGTCAGCTTCCGCCATGTGCAACATCATCAACTCCAAGATTTGCACGCAAGGTGCATAAGTGTAGTATGAGTACAACCCACCCAATATACTCAATAAGTAACAAACCTAACCTCAGGTTGAAAGCAGTGACAAGCTCGAAATAAAGTCAGTGTCCAATACCAATAATCAACGACAACACATGATATAATGATGACAACAAAATATAAAAAACTCAAGAGATATCATGTACAACTCGTTCACAAATACGAAAAATAAGACATGCTTTACAAGTATAACAGTTAAAGCCCAAATCTTTCACTGAAGTTACTAAAAATATGAGTTTATCAAAGAACTGTGATTTTTCCAAACTTTCAACAACAGATAAGACTTTCCATTTACCAGTTAGCATGAGGAAAATATATCTCTATCCCTACATGTCAAGTACACATGTCAAGTCTATAGCATTATATTGCCATCTAGCATGAGAAAAATACAGGTCTATGCCTGCATATCAAATATACATGTCAAGTGAAATATCATAGTGAAATCATCAAGTACACTCACCCTCAACATACTCAAGGTGCGTGAAAATACCCTTCACCATCACACACACAATCACTCAGCACTGTACGGGTGCTTGGCACAAATGTCCCATACCAAAGCACATGTAT